GACAGAAAGAAAAGCAACTTATTTTTACTTGGATAAGAAAGTAATAATTTCTAAAAAATAAAATTTAAGATGTTAGATACAGGTATTAGCAACAACGATTAAATTTCAGCAAATTGAAAACAAGCTAAGCGTTTGAAAACTGCATTGCAATCTACTTATCTATATTTAATAACACTTGAGATATTTGATAACGACATATGTATTATTCACATCGTATTCATATTGCAAATAAATTCGAGTGTGAGAGAACAAGTCATTTTAATATTCTCATCATTCTTCAATTTTCCGTTTAGTGTTTGCTTAGCATGGTGCATTTAATGAACCGGTAACTTTGAATGTTTTCAATTTCAAAGATAAGTTATGCGAAATTTTTATCGGCAATCTTTCAGTAATATTTATTTCAGTTATGATGTACTTAACATTTACAGTTTTTTCCCTCTGAAACGTTAAACAGACGAAAAAATGCAAACGATAAACTTGAATATCGTATTTATTGAAATGCTGCATAATAATCCATGTAATTTTAGTTTTCAGAGTTTTCAAGCGATTACCAGTTTCCAACCAAATCATCATGAAGTATCAACGTAAATTTGTCAAGATCTAAATGATAAGCTGATGAAAATAGTTTAAACAACGCCAACAACAATCTTCCTATGAATTTCATTTTTTATTGAAAAATTTGCTTGCGTGTCCATTCCCGCCTACGTAGTTCATATCTCTTGACTCATGACTCATGAACAAAATAAATATTTAATATACACGCTAACAAAGTTGCCCAAATAATAAGAACTTTAAAATAGCCTTGTTGTAACGCTATTTTATAAGAATAACGATATATTAGTGAGTAACAATCGAACACCCCAGCCCAATGTTATGGAATTGTTTTAGTACTTGCTGTCTGACTGAATTTTTCTAATTTTTCCGCTATTTTGTAAAAATCTACACCTTTAAAAATATAATCTTAGACAAGGAGAAATAAAAAGAGACTAAAACTACATATAAATTCAAACTTGTGGGCTTTAAGTCAGACGTCTGACGCAATGGAATTTGAACATTGTCATTACATATACTGAAAGAATTCGCAAATTTTTATGGCAAAGCGTACCAGAGTTAAATCATGAAGAGAATACGATACAAATAAAACTTACAATAATTTCAGTGCTTGTTCCACTACTTAAAGTTTTTGCTTCGTCTGATGAGAATCAACTATCAAAATAATACGAATGACCTGTTTTGCATCGCGTATGTAAATAATCTTTTAACAATGGAAGTATTTCCAAAGCTCACAGCAGGAAAAACTATACTTTCCCTTAGGGAGGGGGTGGGTGGAGAGAAAATAAAATTTGTGAATATTGAATTTGGAAATGTTTTATTTAAATTTTATATGCGCATGCAATTGAGCATGTTTTCTATCGTAAAGATAAAATTTGTTTTTAAGGATTATAAAATCTGATTAGTTACTATATTACCAATAAGTATTGCAGGTTAAGTGTTAATCAACTTAATCGAGATATAGGATAACAGATGCAACAACGTAGGGCTTGTGCTTTCGGCAGCAATGTTTTTATCCACAGACGTCTTGTACTAGGTTTCAGAGTTTAGGAGTTTTACACTCTGTAACTACACGCTCATCAATGGCATTTATATCAGCGCTGCCAATATCCTCGACGACTTTAAGAAATTGTGCAGTTTTCTCCCGAAAAATATCATGCTTGCAACTCCAGGAGATGGCAGGATTAAGAAATCTTTACAAAGGACATTGTTAAGATTCTCCAAAAGTTTACGTCGAGAAACTTGGGTTCCACTGTTAGAAATGTACATACTGTAAATTTCAACAGAGTTCCAAACTTGGGAGTAATCGGATCTTATCTTATAACAGTTTGGAAAGCCTCATCTTAGTCTTCTTTGTTCTGACTTTCCTTTGCCTTTGCACATTTGGACATTTGGACATTTGTCGTGGTGCCATGAAACTTGGTGGGCAGTCCCAGTGGTATCTGGCATCGGCAGCATAAAGGTCACTAACTGCCCCTAGTACTCTGGTGCGTACTTGCTCTGCTCATTTATCATTACATATGTCACACGCATGTAATATCGTTCCTTTAAATGACTTTTGCCCCACACCACGATCTGCCATCTTACACAAGGTAAGTGAATCCCATCGACTTTGGTGACGGGAGTCCTTTCGCATAAAACATTTTTCACCGCAGAAAACACAGTCTTCCTGGAAAGAAAACGTTGCCCTTGAATTTGACTGTCATGTACGTTTTACAACAAACGAGCAAGTTGTAGCATCAGTTTTTTCTTGACTCACGCTTTGAATCTTTAAAAAGACGCTTTATATGGGTCAGTGAAGTATACGATGATACACAATACTTGCAACATTGTATTTGAATGTTAGAATTCCCTTCAAGGATTCCCTTTTTCCAACCAATCATGAATGGAATCTCCTCTAGTTTTGCTCGAGTCAATGATTTTTTTTTACTCTTTCTTTACATGCCTTTATTAACACTTTGCTTGTGTCTTCACATTCAAAAAAACAATCATCCATCTTCGAAAATTTCCATAGGGACTTCCAATTTTTAAATAATAGTACAAATTGCTCACATTAAATTTTTTTTTAATAATGTAGAGATAATTGTCGAAAAACCCTTTTCCGTAGTTCTTGCAATAAACATGATTGTTTTACTAATGATTGAACTACTTCATGTAAGTTTTGTAAAATTATTTTGTGACTTAAGCATAAGCCGTATGCAAAAAATAACTATTTCTAGATGTCTATGCCCAAATACTGATCAATTACCACACAATAAATCTTCTATTGTTGCTGTACCCTTTGGCGTAACATTTCAAACAAAGAGCATTCATTGTTTTTCAATATGGCGTCCATTTTTAATAGAAGTACGCAGCCAAAAGCTTTCATTTCCCTAAAGGGTGCTAAATTGGCACCCTGAAAATTACAAATCGCCGTTTTACATAAATACAAAAACTCTAAAAATCTGTTTGGGGTCCTCCAAAACAAAGTTTAGCCTTTGGCAATTAGTTAAAAAGTAATTAGAAATTAACAGGAATCTAATCTAATAGACACCAGAAATATAAAACATAAAAATCATGTCTAGCCGACATCAATTGACTGGATATGGTTGAAAAACTCAGGCCTACGTTAAAAATGATTACAAGGTTGTAATTTTCGTTCCAGTGCCGAGTTCGACACATGGCGTAGTTAGAACGTTAAGGGGCTGTTTACATGATCCCAGTTAACCGGGATTTAGTGAGGCGTGAAATGATTTTGAGGGATTGATAGGAGGCAAAACTTCAAGGATAAAACTTTGAACTGTTTGTTAAATGCCGCAATTCATTCCTGTTGTAATTCTAAAATTAAGCCAAATTGATTGTTTTAATTTTAAATGTTTTGCGTAGTTATTAAATCAAAATAATGTGAAATTGCACGAGAAGATTTATCTGATGACAAGTATTAAATCGTTTCCATTTGCCAAAATCATTTAACGCTTAGCTGAATCACGGCTTGGAGCCGCAGTTTCAATCCGATTAGCTAAAACAGGGTTGAAATTTCAGCAACGGGCTTGAACTCAGCACAGGGTAGAAAATTTGGCTTATAATCGCGCGTTTGATATAGCGAATGATTTGTATTAAGACTGAGATGAATTTTAAGCTCACTTAACGGAGCACTGTTCTACAGCAGTTTGAGGAACAAGTCCAGCCGGTACATAACTCACAAGATGCTCTTGAGAGACCAGGTATGTAACCTACTACGGCTATGAATCGCCGTGTGTTACCTTTGATGTTTTGGCAATGCTGTCAACCTCTCAAAGATGGTTGGATGAGATAACTTCTCAGAGATGGAAAGATGAGATCACTTTGTCTGGGCACGTCGCTGGCAGTACTGTCTACGGCATTACAGATAGCAAATGTTGATCATTATCAAGGTGATAACAAATGGCCAGACAAAACGTGATAGCTGATATAATGTTAGAAGACCAAAGTCATTTATCGAAAGCGGTTTTATCCAATCTACGATACTTCCGAAACTGCTCAGCATCTTCAGCATCCAGCTCACAGACAATATATGTAGCTCCCTGTGTGAGCCGTCAAGAAATCCCACGCTTTGTTCATGTAGTTGATTTAGCTGCTTTCAAACGCCTTTGCCGTAGCCGCAATAAAAATGACAAAAGCAGCATTTCTTTGTCTTCTACACCTGACGACGAATCAAACATACCATAAGCAGCAGCCACTTTGCTTTGAATAGCAAATATTACCGTAGACAGAGCATGAGTAAAGGTTACATTTGCTGAGGCAATAGCTTTTCATGCGCGCACACTTGGAGGAAACATTCATTCCTGACCGAAATTATTGAACATGCTGCATATCTGGTAATTATGACACGGGTAGAAATGCCCGGCTGGGCTTCTACAGTAGAAAAACACAGGACTGCGTACTAGGCGTATATTTTGCCGATATCTTAAATCGCTCTCAAGATAATTTGATGCGAACGGTAATGAACTGTAACACGAGTAGGACTGAGAATGACCATAACAGGCTTGCGAACAAAAAATATTCTAATTGTAGACTGGAATATGGCAAATCTATGGGTGTTTTCCATTTACAAAGAAAGCGGAGAATTATCAATAAAGCATTTTGACATGATGTTGAAATGTGGCAGGTGTACAAACAGCTTGGATATATTCAATAATCAAAAGCAAAAGGGAAAAGGAAGATTTGTCAAAAAATTTCTCAAATCTTTGGAATGAAGTGAAACATGATCTGTATTTCACTGAATAAATTTGACAAATTTAATTGCATAAAGTGTTACTTAAATAATTGACTTCAACTATTTGTCAATATCAACTAGCTTTCATACTGAAAACATTTACGAAAAATAAAAACCGATTAGGTCCAAAACGATGTTTTCCATTTGTTTCAACGTAAAAAGCTACTATTCCTGCATTCTAAAATCAATAAAAAACATCATAACAGTTACAAGATTAGTGGCGGTGGATACTGAAACGTCAAAAATTGATTTTATTTGCTATTTGCAAAATTCAACTACATTTAAATGTCCACAACGAACACTTATCATAACATCAGACTGTTTCTTGTAGCAAGATACATGGATGATTGGATAGATCATATGACTGGAGTTATCCAATTCTTAACTCCTCTCTGTATTCTGCGATGAGAATCTCCAACGCTCAAAAATCTAAATAATTTTGAGTCGCAACCATGCATATATTTAACAAAATACGAATGACGAACATACAATTTTAATTCATTTAACAAGACGAATGCCATGTTTTGCGAGGGATACATTCGAATTAGTAATATTTTCAGTCCCATTATAAATATTTTAAGTAATCATATCCATTTGCGGAGATTAAAATTTTTCACAGTATATATTACATAATTAATTATAAGACACCAGTATCGAGTAAGAAAATGTTTAAATGAAAAGTCATTAAATTTAAAAGCGAGGCAATAAAACTTATGAGAAGATAGTGTAAACAAATCATGAACAAATGCACGATGTTCTTAATTATTCTTGCGATCAGGTTTAGTTTTCCTGTGAGTAGACCTAATGACTTTGTGCACCAGAAGAGGAAGTTCAGGAAAACGTTGCAGGAAATACTTTTTATAATTGCCTTGCTTTACATATTGTGATAGATAAGGAGGAGGTTTATTTTGCCAATGTTGGTCAACATTTCGTATAAATCTTAAGCATCCTGCCCATGTAGACTCGTACTTTAGAGTTCTTATACTGTCGTTTACTTCAAAGTTGATCAAATCTTTGACGACCTCATCATCGATACGCTTCATCCATTCCGTGGAACCATGCAACTGCTTATGAACGTCTGAAGTGGGAGAATTTTGACCTTGTGAATGTTTCACCTCCAGTTGGTTCCCCATATCACACAGCATGTTAAATTTCTCTTCGTCTGATTGTAGATAAGGGTGTTTTAACGCCTCATTGGCAGATGGCCTGTCTTCAGGTTTTAACTGTAGCATCCACGATAAAAGGTCTTTGAACGTGGCATTCTTGATTTCCCCCAATCCAACTGGGTTTCCATCCAAATTGTTGTCCAGTCTATGCCGTTCATGTCCAAAAGGATGTTTTCCCTTTGTTGCAACATAATAAGCCACCATTCCTGCATTCTATTTTCAATAAAAATTGTCATAAACAGTCAGTGGTGGATACTAAAACCTTAAAGATTAAATTCATTTGCGATTTGCAGAACTCAACAATAAATGTGCAGCTTAAAAAAATCTAAAAAATTTTCTCCAAATTGAATTGTAGCCATGTATATGTATCAAAAGCAATCTAAATAAGGAACATACAATTGTAACTGTAACACGATTAACAAAAATTGATTTATTTCTATTTAAATTTATAGGTTGACACTATATGGCGATACAATGGAGGTACAGAAAAAAATTGAGATAAAATCATTATCACTACCAAATACCAATATTTAATTAAATGCAAATAAAACATTGAGCTTTAGTTGGACTTCTAGTTCTACTTCAAGAACTTACCATAATGTCAGACTCTTTTTTGTAACGAACTTTATTAATTGTATCATCTGATGCGTTATATGACTCTGGAGCTATCCAACCTTTAGCTCCTCTTTGTATGCTTCGATGTGTCGAAGTTTCATTTAATATTTTTCGACTTATACCAAAGTCAGCGATTAAAAAATTTCCATCCACATCTCGAAGAACGTTTGATGGTCTTAAATCCCGATGAAGAATAGGACACGGACCACTGTGAAGGTGAACCAGACCATTTAAGATCTGAATAAGAACTTTAGGAACGACTTTTTCAAGATCTTGCAAAGAAGAAGATTCCACATAATTCTCTAACGATTCTTCACACAAATCCAATACCATGTAGAAATACTCTTCGTCAAGGTTCTCTTCTAAATGCCAAATATTCACAACATAATTTGATCGCTTTGCATTAAACTCATTCAAAATTTCTTTTTCTCGATTAGCTAAGTCTTTGCCGCTATCTTTGTGTATTCGCTTTACTGCTTTTCCGTAACCATTGTTTCCTAGGGCAAGGTAAACACGGGTTCCATCACTTCCTTTGCCAAGCAAAAACTCCTCCTTGAAAATTACACGCAATTCACTGAGCAATGTAACTTTTTCTGGATGTTCGCGTCCATATTCTTCCATCCTTTTAAACTTTTTCTGATGCATTATTGATTTATCAAAACATTTCCATGGTTGACGCAACAATTCTTGAACTTTAAGGAGAAGTACAAATCAGGAAAGATTAAAAAAGGACTGATAAATTCATGCAATAAATTCATCAATTCACATTTTTATTTGTTTTGGCAATATCACACGACATATAACATTGCTGTGTTTTCTCTGGATGTGAAAACACGGATGTTCTTATTTTGATATGGAAATAACATTTACTCCGGTAGAAATGAGTTGGTCATCATACAATTCACGCGCAATAATCGACGTTCCACGATTAGTTCATTGCATGACCATACCAACCTTTAACTCAATAAAGCCAGTGGCGGATCTAGAGTACGTCAAAATAAATTGCTGCAGCTCATGCTTGGATATATTTCCACTTCCAAATACATAGAGGCAAGTCCATTGATAAAGTTTAATTTTTTGAAATTCAAATCCAATAGTTTTGGTTTGAACATATTTTGAATTTAAAATTGAGCATCTATAATTCATTTTGGCAAACGCTAGATCTGCTATACTAGATTGAGCAATTATGCAATGGATAAAACACATATCCTTTTCACATTAACATAAAATATGAAATTTAGTATCTGAATGTTAAAAAGTTAAGACCGACAATCCTCTTAAAGTAAATTGAATTTACTCAATGATCTCTACAAATGTTTACAAAGCAATGATCCCTTCAATAACTGACTTTATTTTAACTGGGAACAATAAGAAATAGTTAAAATGGTTGCTTACGACATGCTGAACTTTACGTTCAGACACGGACATTTTTATGCATGCAATGAAAAGAATTTTTCATTCCTAATTAATAGTCATAAAAAAATTCTGAAAATTGAAAAAATTTACACAGCATTTTCCAACTCGAGCAATTGAGAGCATTAAAAAATTAATCATAATCCTTTACGAAACTAAAAATAATTCGTTATACCAACCTTCCAAACGTTGTTTTCCCTCTTCTGCATTATAAAAATGAATAATAAAATAATATTAAAATATTATATGGTTATAGTGACAAGCAACTAGAGCATTTTTTGTTTTATTTATAACACAACAAAACAATTTAATGGGCTCTTTATCATGAACTATGAACAATGTTAATGTATGGGCTTCTTTTAAGATTTGGTCGCAACATAATACCACACCGACTATAAATATAAGAAAATATAAAAATTACAGAACCACAAATTACAATTTTACATTATAAAAAGTGCTTTTGATTGATTTTTCTCTTCAACAATAACATGTTTGTTTCTGTATTGATTACGAGGAAAATATCCATTGGTCAAGATATTGGTCGTCACATGAGTAATGATGTAATACGTAAAAACAAATGAAAGTATTTTTATATATAGCTATCATTATATTTTTAAGGTTATTGTAGACAAACACATAGTTTGTACAATCAATTTTGAAAACAAAAATTTTATTATCGTCGTGTGCAAGTGCAATAGCAAAAAATTATTTTAGTTGCAACACAGTGAAAGTTGAGAACGCTTTGATTTATTAAGAATGTTGCAGGCTTATAAACACGGATATATAAAAAATCATTCACAAAGGTATCTTTCTTCCACACTCTTTTCTGCATTAAGACAATTATCATTAATCCCTAGCACAAAGTTTATATTTATGTTTTGCATTCGATTCACAGTTGAGTACCTCAACGTCGTAAAATGGTGACAGTATAGGAATGAGTAAACATTTTAAAATTTTTTTTGCACCATTATAACGGAAGTAGTTAAAAATAGCAATCTGTCAAAACGCTGACATTTTGAAAACAACGCTTGTTATTTTTTAAACGACTCAAACCAATATCTAAGTCACAAAGAGCATTTTCATAAAGAACATTTTTTGGCATGCATTTTAATTTTTTGCTGCCCACATCGGCTTTGCATACTTTTAACGAACTTATGCAAATATTCTAGTGTAACGATCTTATGTAAATATTCAGTACAGTTTCCTTTAAATACGGAAACATTGAGATTGAAAAATCAAAGACGAAAGCATCTATCGAGGTGAAAAGAGTTCGGAGAATTAAAGAGCCTAATGTTTTTAAGGTTACCTTCTGAAAAGCTTGTGTTCATCCAAAAGTGTTCATCCAAATTATCATCTGCATCTAAACACATCATAAAGAAAATAAACGTGTATATAACATGTCACACTACCCAGCTTTTGTCAAATATGAGTAAAAAGTAGGTCCACAAACGGATAAAAGACGAAAAATGTCGGTCTCACTAAAATTTTGAGATATTTGATCCAATAAAGACACAATAAAGTTGGTCCCATGACGTAGAACACTCCCCCTCAAACCTTTCAGCGAGCCATAATTTATTTAGAATTTGCATTTACGTAGCCATTTATTGTATGTTATTCGGTCTTGCAAATATTACATGCATGGTTATGCTAATACCGTGTGTTTGCAAAGAGGGAGTTGAACCAGTGAGTTGAACTACCTTACTTTGTGGTTTGTAATATTTTGGGTGGAAAAATAACAACGTGGGTTTTATTGAAAGTTTTTCCGTAAAACTAATAATTTACTCTTTCATAACACATCATAAATATCTCTTGAAAGAGTTATTTGTCCCAAAAAAATTTAAAGGAAACCACCTAAACGCTAAATGAAACTATGTATTCGTAAACATAATTATTGGCTTTTATTGACTATCAATAATCAAATAATATGTTTTAAAAGGATGTTTTTAACAATAATCTATTTAAATTCATTTGTGTACGTGTAACGTATACATGTAACTGACACGTTGATCATGATGGTTTTCACAATTTACTTTTAGCATTATAGCCAGTTTTCACTATCTATACATACTGATCAAATTTCTATGTTTACAAAGTTTAAAATTTTCACATGATTATGATCCACAACATTTGCATTATTTTTGAATTAAAAGATTTTAGTTGGCTACATATAACGACATGTTTTAAAATTAATTTATCAGGTTATAAATTATTGTTTGTATTTAGCGTTGAAAAACATGGAAATGTTTGGGCGGCAAATGTTTGGTAAAAAAATTCTTTTGCTTACCAGGTTTTGATGTGGAAGGCAAAACACCAATGATGACTTCACTGTCCATAAGTTTCAATGCTTCCAAAGCATCTTTTAATCTCAAGCAAATGTAGAACGTCTCCACTTTTCCGTTTTGGTCTTTCCCGCTCAATTCAGCAACAACATATGCAAAAGGTCGTTTTTGGTTGTCTTCATCATCACAAAAATACACAAGAGATCCCGAATCTCCGTCCATTAGAAACTCAACATCACTTTTTACCAACACTGCGTTACAAAATACGGGTCTTCCGTCGTCGTCATCAAAATTAAACATTAGATCCTCAATGTTTCCAAAAATTTCTTGAGCTTTTTGAACAATGCTTTTTTCACCACGATGCTGTCTAAGATAAAGCCTCGAAAACACGTCATGAGAATAGTTCTCCATTTCATCTGAAGTCTTTTCCATTTTAACTTCATCAACTTTGATGGCCATGATATCAGTTTCATATCCAAAATCAAAATGGGAAAAATTACCAACCACTCCGTCATCATCTGAGAGGAAATACTTATTTTCTTCCATAAATCGCTGAGTAGCATTTCTGTTTATTTTAATTTCATCTTGAATTGCCAAAAACGGGTTAACGTCATCGTTCCGTATCCGGCCAATTTCATAACCAACGTGGAAACAGCTCAACGCGTATTGTTTTCCATCTTTCATGCGGAACATTGTCAACGTGCCACTGGATCGCACGTCAGGAATATCATCGCGTTCCACTTCGAGTCTCTTGTTGGATAGAGGTCGAACCTTCCACACCTTTAACGGGTCGTTTGGTCGGAATTCGATGTACTTTGAAGCATGCCAACCAAGTTTCTCGTTGATTTCTTGTTTCATATTATGATCAGTTATTCCGTTAGCGTAATCAACGACAATGTACAAGTGAAGATATGGCATCTGGTCAGTTGGACCCGCTGTTCCACATTGTCCACAAAACCAATCAAAGCTGCAAATGTGGAAAAATCACTGAAAGATTAAACAATAAAGCAGAAAAATACCTTCGCGTGGATAAAAATTCAACTGGTATTGAAGGAATATCAAAAAAACACAAATAGTAAGATTTACCTTTTCAATTTCTTATACACGTCACTGCTCATTTTGAAATCGTCGGTGAGAAAATTTTTTTTGAAGAATTGAAAGTGATCGGTACCTACATATCCTCAGATAGTTGCATAAAATTAATATCAACGGTTAAACATGCAATCCATGGTAAATAAAGTGTAGATTTTACCTGTAATTTCCGATGTCAACCGAGCACCAGTTGATGTGACTGGATTCTTTCCTATCAATAAAAATTTACATAATTTTAGTTGTTCTGAGTGTGCACTGTTTTCAAGTCTAAGATAATGATAAAGAAATAATCATTAAATACCATTAACATTTGACGAGAGTTTCATGTTTTTTACTTTTTCTGACGGTGGCTGTTGATGAACACGGGAAATCGAATCTGGTTCTTAAAGAATCAAACACTTATTAATTAGAATGTAATAGTAATGCATAAAATTCAACAATGAGAGAACATTTCATTTAAGAATTCGTGCATTGACAAGAAACATTGTAAAACAGAAAAATAAGGCGTTGCTTATCGACATCAACCCCTTTATTATTTTCATGATATTCACTTGTCCTTTTTTTCTCTCGACAGCTTATAACAATAAATGAATGTCCTATGCAAAAGATAGTCTTTATTTATTTCAATACTTATGCTATACGTAAAATATATTTAGGGCTGTAAAGCTGTTGCTCCTAACCAATGTCTTTTTTTAAACATCTACAATTGTGGATCAATTTTTTGGATGTAAAATATTCACTCGAACATCAAAAATTTAATGATTCAAACTAATACCTTGTCGACGTTTATAATTAATGCATCGATATTTCATTGTCACTTTAGAGTCTTCTGAAATATTACACAAAAACAAAAAATATTAAGTAAGGCTAGCGTTACTTTATAGAAAACGAAACTTTCTTCATTGATATACAGCAAGCCTTTCTAGCTGCAAAATGTTCACACAAGACAAAGAAGTAATAACTCAAAACATCTTACTTTTGTTAGCTGCACCTCCTTCATCATCGTCGGTTTTAGCACTGTTGGATACACTAAGACCATTGTCTCGAAGTATAAAAAATCGACCATTCTGAAGACCAAGAGCTTTTAAGCAGTGGTTCAACTTCAGACAGATGTAACTTTTTTCTGAACCGCTGTCACCATCATCACATACTTCGCAAACTCCATACGCAAACGGTTGCCAATTTTCTTTTTCATCCAAAAACCAAACAAGAGTACCAGAATCACCGGAATCAAGAAATGTTTGACAACTTTTTATCTTGATAGCATTCTGGAAAATGCGACGTGGGGAATTTTTACACCAATACTCATAATTCAATTCACTGATGAAGCCCTCAACACCAGTGGCTGTGCGGACTTTAACAGCCTCCTTGTTGTCCTCAACCCTGCGTTGAAGTTCTAAATTTGCATCATCCAAGTTCAATACAACATCTTCCATTTCATCACCAATAAGTTTCTTGAAATCTTCTTGCTTGCCAATTATGATAGACATGATGTCTGTTTCACTATCAAACTGAGCAAAGGTGTGCCGATGAGAAGATCCAATTTCTGCTTTACAGTCACTCTTAGACGGAGTGTACATATACTTGTTTTCATCGTGTTTATTCAAGGTTTCTACAGCTTTGCTGATTGATAGCACTCGCTCTCCGTCAAGAAATGTTTGCTGGTGGTCAGTGGCACAAGCAACATGTGCGCATGTCAAGGCGGAGTAAACATCATCCTTCAGACAAATCACTGTTATCGTACCACGAGATGTTCCACCATTCTGATTTCCATTATGTGGTATTTCGATATTTGAAAGAAGCCGAAAGGGTGCTTCAATGGACAATGGCGACCAAAATTCCTTCGATTTCATTGTTTGGATTCCATGCACATCATGTATCTCTTTTATCAACTTTTTGCTCGATTTTGTAAGATTGACATTCAACCCTAAATTTGATTAATTATTAAAACATGTTAAATGCCGCATGATATGAAATTTTCGGCCCGCAAATTTTATGTTTTTCAATCGGCCCGATGAACAAAACAATACAAATTAATGTGTTTTTGATTTAAATGAAGCAATAAATTACCAGCAACGTTGATTTTCGACTCATCTTGAGCAATAATCTCATCATCTTGGGCCAGATTGGCTGCTGCATCCTCGTGAGTAATATGAACCTCATCTTGAGCAACCACATTGGTAGACTTTACAGCTTTTATAAAAGGAATTACAATCATTCATTCAAATAATTTTTCAAATAGAATAAATCCATAAACCTGAATATGAAAAAATAATTCCTTATATCAGTCATTAGTACAATAAATGGCTATACCAACTTATGATGAGTCAAGCGTTAAGAACATAGTAGAATAGTAAAAGGATAGAAAAATTTTTATCCAAACACGTAAACCCCGTCTACCTACACTGATTTCAACGATGGACGTGTACAAACTACATTTACGTAAAATTTCATAAATATTACATAAAACTAGATAAAATTAAATAAAAATTATAAGAAAACAATCTAAGTATTTGATTGTATATAATAAAAAACTTTTCAAAAAAGAAAGCGATAAAATGATTCGTATTTTAGTCACAAGAAAGTAAATTAGAAATCATCGATTTTTTTTATTTGTTTCCAAAATGTTAATAAAATATCATTAGTACAATGGCTGAAAACAAACCAAATGCAAAAATCGATATAAATTTGCGTACTTTCAATAACTAATGGGGCGTCGTCCTCCGGTTAGTATATTCTAGTTCATTCAAAGTTTTTACGGCACGTCTGATTAATGGAAGTTGCTTTCCGTAAAGAAAGGTTTGCTTGTGGTCAGAGGAACAAGCTACATGTGCGCATTTCATGGCACAGTAAACATTATCCTTCAGACAAAACAGTGTAACTGTACTGCTAGAAGCGCTATGATTCTCATTTTCATCAGACGCCAATTGGGATATTTGAAGGTTGGCTAAACGTTGGTTCAATCGACGATGGTGAACAAAATTCGCTCCTCAATGTTTGGAGTCCAAGTACATCAAACATCTCATTTGCCATGACTTTGTTCGGCTTGTCTTTTCAAAATAAACCGTCAACCCTAATGTTTATTCATAGTTTATCAAAATAACGAACTGTGTAATTAGGCCCGTTTCAAACGTCGCATTTTACATGCGCTGAATGCATTTAAAACAAAATAATATGAGATCCATTTCCTCATTATCTTTTGTTTTAAACGCATTCGGCTCACGTAAAATGCGACGTTTGAAACAGGCCTAAGGGTCTTGCATTCAGTGACGTAGCCAGCTCGCACGTTTTTGTCCTGTTATGTAAAGTTGTGAACATTATAATAAAGGCTGCATGTGCCGTTCCAAAATTTTATCTTAGTTTCAGTTTTTGTCCGAAATATACATGCTATACTTCTTTTTGTTTGTTGGTTTTGTATATTTTTTTGTGCGTCTATTTAACTGAATAGAAAATATTATCAGAACTAGGCTAATATGAACAAAATCAATTTACTCAATGCTTCATTCCCAATATATGTTGTAGTTGTGTTATAGACAATCGTTTCATTAATGTTATGTACATAATCAGCATTATAAAATTCATCACGTTCGAAGAATATGCAATCTCGACTTGATATAAGCAAGTTACATAGAGCTATTTCATATATTACCTTTATACAATAATAGATTTCTCTTCCACAGTGCATCTAAAACTGCATCGTACAAAAGTAATATTAGTTTTCATTTTAAAAGCAATAAATTAGAATCGAAGATTTTATGTTGAGTAGATATTTACTCATTCTATGAAGCATTAGTGTGTAGCACAAGTTTTCTGTTTGTGTGTGGAAAGGTAGAGCAAGTGAGTTGTAAAAATGTGAAAACACACGAACGTGAAAAAAACTTTTGAAAAAGTAGCTACGCTACAGTATTGTTTGTTACATGTAACATAGATTTGTTGAAAAACAAATTTTAAATGATCCCTTTACCTTCTTTATATCGTTCAATCTTTCTTTCCATCAATTCTACATTTGAAACAAAAGAGAACAAATGAATGGGCGTCTCTTTTTTCTACTATGGATAACACTGTCTCTAAAGTCATTTCTCCTGTCATGCAAAAACGAATATCCATTTTGAGTATCCTGTAAACTTTTAATTTATATTTCCTTAATTCAATCGTCATACTAATGCCATACAATACTACCTTTCTTCAAGCGTTGATGTTTTTCCAATGGCATATCTTTTGCCTGCAAGGCTGCAGTATAAAAAAATGATATTAGTTACATGCACCAAAACATGGACAGGTTTCAGTTTACTTATACTGTCGAGGAGTGAAAAATAGGAATGGATAAACTTTCTTTTATAAATCATGCTAAGAAAAAAGAATATAAAACCATGGATGTATGCACAATTTTTAGTCATTTGAACATTATCCGTTCTCGCGTACATTAACTGCATTGTATTTAACAATGGAGTAGAAAATAAAAAAATAAAGTTGTTTCCATGAATAGACGATGATTCACAACATAGTCACCTTTGGGAACTTTCAGAGTTCTAATTGCTAAAAACAATAACAAACAGAATATTATTTTATGATTTTTATTGCTAAAAACTTATTGCAACATCATCAACTCATTCCCATGAACAATAGCTATTATGAGGCAAAGACAACTATTATTTTGTATAGTCCTACCACATTACACATAAAATACATACAAAAAATAACAGTATTACCATTCTTTAAATATCGGTATTCCTGAATATCGGTAAGATCTTGTGCAGAATGAAAAACAAAAAACAACATTGTTTCTTTTACGCAACATATTGTTTACAATTGATAGAACTTATTTCAATTACTCGAATGTGAGAAATATTTCTCTCAACAAAGTGAATGTTGTCATGCGAAATATTTCTTCAAATATTAAGGAATATTTCATTTTGTGTGGAGTGTTTTTTTGAGCGCAGCGTTGCTCATTGGAAATACAATCCTTGCTGCAACAGTAATTTTGCTCCATGTTCGACCAATGCAGACCACATCGCACAATTTTATCAAATCAATGTCAGGGTAAGTTGACACATAATAAACAAAAACATTCGTCATTAATATGTTGTATATATGACTATACCAACCTTTACGACGACGTCCTTTCTTCTCTACACCAATATGTAAAACAAAATGGCTATGCCAACCAACATGTCGCCGCTGAATCTTCTCTGTTTTATCTGAAAATTAAAGATAAAAAATTTGTTCACATTTACATATAACAAGTTAATCGATGTCAAAAAAAGCATATCAAGACAAGAAAGCGAAAAAAGATATTTATATTTAGCAATTGTATTTCAGTGACAAGAATGTAAATTACAAATAATTGATTTATTTCCAACATTGTAAATAAAATATCATTACTACAATGGCTGAACACAAACCAAATGCAAAAAACGAGAGAAATTTGAACGCTTTCAGTAATTATAGAGAGGTGTCAGCCTTTGTTCACCATTCATCATACATTTTTTACAGTAATAAATAACTTAATTCAATGTCATTGATTAAATATATTTTTTCTATACAGTAACGATCTCTTTCTGCGAGTGAGACACAGCGTAGCTAACATCAGTACAACATTCTACAAGTATGAAAACATCAGTACAACATCCTATCCACTCTTCATTACATCTCACATTTTGACCGTTAACAAAAGTATGTGAATAAGGAAGATATAAACGAATCTCAATGGTTACATTGCATTCTTGTTTGTACTTAACATTTCAAAAGGCAATAAAGACTACTTTTGTGTAAATATTTGCATTTTAAAATTCCATTACTTACTAGGTCCTGATGTAGAAGACGTTATACCAATATCAGCATCACTGCCATTATCATTTAGTAGAAGTAGCAAAGATTTCTTTTCTTCAGAAGCTGAAGCAATATAAATATGAAACATTTAAGAATGATAATATTATTAAAAAGTATTGAAACAAATGTAAGCTTTTATTTCTACAGGATTGTTAAATATTTTATATTTTCTTATTTTTATGGAATTACTCTGATAAAAACCGTATTTGAAAGGGGCGTTCACCAGATGGAAACGGGTAATTGAGGCTAGGCGTGTATTAGAGGAATACGGTAACCCTTGTTATTAGAATAATCGACTTTTATTTACTGTTACAAAGTGGATTCTCGTCAATTTAAATCATTTTACCAATTCCTAAAATAATATATGCTAAGTCGTAGACAAGAGTTATATTTTGAGAGTGATTAACTTCCAGCGAGCATTAGTTTGTTGTAACTTTATTTACCGTCAAGATCAAGATTGTCCATGACGTCTTTGCTTTTCTTTCCACTAACTTCTTCAATTTTCACATGATCCACAGTATCTGAAAAATGTTCACAACGGTATTGTCACTATTATGTACAGCTTAAAGTGTAGAGATTCGAGAGAGAAAAACATTATAGAGTGTTAAAACACAACCAAAAAAGAGAGAGTTGGTCGAGTAAAAAAACAATAATTTTACAGCCAAATTTGTTAATTTACCGAAAAAGATTGAGTGAGCATCAAAATTAAATCGGGGATATTTATATCATCATGGAAGCCTAATTCAGTAATGTCTTTGAAAAAGGAAAATTATGTTTATGGCTTACAGGTGAAATGTTCCTCAAGATCAGTTCTTGTTTTCCAGTCAGTTGACCTTATGATTTGATGCACACGAAGAGAAAGATCGGGAAAATGTTGCAAAAAGTACTTTTTATAGTTTCCTTCTTTGACATATGGCGATAGATGTGGACGGGGGTTATCCTTCCAATGCTGGCCAACGTTTCATATTTTCACTAAAACTCTAAAGTTAAACTAGAGTATTTTATATATCCTATAATTCTTAAGTCAATATTTATTGATAAAACTTACTTTTTAAATTTGTCTTCGTTGTAAAACGTCTTCCTGCCAAATAATGTAACTTAGCGAGTGTCGGGAATTATGAACAAACGTTTGCAGGTAAATCCATGACAACGGTCGTCTACCAATGAAATTCCCTGAAATAGAAACATTTAATAAATTGCCATGTTTATTTAGAAATTTCAATCATTAGTACTTAAATTGAAAACTGACACGCAGTTTCTCTCTTTATGTCAGTCTTAAAAATCGATGCGTCATATATGACAGTTTCAAAAACAACTAGATCAAATTTTAGACATGTTTCAACAACATATGAAAACAGTATCTGAAGACGTCTATCTTTGTGAAAAGCAGTCTTTAGCAGATAGATAAGGAATCAGTCGTCACATAAGAACTAAGAACCTGTGGAGAGAAAAGTGCAGCATTTTAACAAAAAGGCGCTGTTATAGCAGGTGCTATTTGTGACGCTGCCTGTTTTGAAAAACCATTATTAGAACAGCTGTTACAAAAACGTAATTTACGCGGCTATGAATTTAATTTTGTTTATGATGGTTCAGGTCGAGTATTGTCGAGACAGGCAAAAATCGAAGAACGAGGCAGTGAGAAAAGATAGATCCACTGGGGAGATCACATATAAAAAAGTCTCCAAAACAAAACGCTCACGATACAAGTCGCAAGTTCTTGTTTCCAAGCAAAGTATTATTTCCTAATAATAATTCCTAAAAATAATCACTAGAATCGTTGTCAAATCTAGAACGAATGTACATTTCTTGTAATGTTCACTGTAGATATGATACAATGCCTCATGCAACATGAAAAATGTAACATGTAACAGCATTTTAAGTAAGACGAAGATTTGGAGATGACATTTATAAAGCCTGCATGAATGCAAAGTTAAGTTTAATCAAAGGAAATAACACAGTTTCTGGAAACGTTGAATGATAACATTTCCTTGCAATATATGCTGTATTATTGCAATCAAGATTGGCAATAATCTCTTTCAATTAGAGGCAATGGGTTCAAAATAAACATTAATAAGCAATATTAATCGATCATTTCAAATAAACACAAACCTTCATTTTCCACAACTGAAAAAAATAAGAGATCATGACAGATAACCAAATCCTGTTGCAATTACTGGAGGAATGTCTTCGTAACCTTAAAATGAACGACGATATTTGATTTGATCTGCGTAGATGCACTTTTGTGAGACGAATCTGTAATAGCAACTGTTCATTAGAGTAACTTTAATCTTCTCAACCAAACAAGCACCAACAAACAATTGTCAATAACCAACAATTTACACATAAATTAATTCACCTTTCCTTGAGCTTCAAAGAAATAATCACAAACAGAGCGACTTAAAACACTTCTCCAATCTTTTTTTCCAGAAATATATCTCTAAATATACGTGGAAGACATCAGATGATCCAGAAAAACCGTTTAGTGTACGGTAATGTTGTGATAACCATATAACAGTGGAGCATAAGAATTTTTGTTTAAAACGCCTTAACTTTTGTAAACATACTTACGGCTACCCCATACGACTCGCTTTGATGATTTTCTCCAGCTTGAAATAGAAAGATGTACATGTTCTTAACATATTCAACTTTTATGACGAAGTATATGACAAACATTACATTTATTTGCAAGATGCTCTACGACTATAATTAATACACACATTTCCCTAATTGCTTTTCATGCATTCACGTCCTTCCTTTACATACATATATGATTGAATTTAAGTTTATTAATAATCCATACTTCAGTGACTATACATGCAAGTAATTCTTGATATGACTTTATGAACCAATTTCTTGGTCGTTGCTCAAATTAACAATTAGAAAGTGGCACATGATTAGTTAAGAGTTTGTTATACTTCATTTTCCATCAAGATTACGGCTGTCAATAATATCTTCACTTTTCTTTCCATTGACTTCCTTCAATTTTCACAGGATTTATGTTTCCTAAAAACGTTTGCAACGGGAAAATACAGAACTTAATTTTATTTAACGTTGAGGTTGGAAACATTTATACAATACTTAAAACATACATCTTAAAGAGTAGAAAAAAAGTTCAATGTGACAGAGAAGTATGTTAGTATGCATGGAACTCTAACATGTCTAAGTCGTAAAAATGGGGTATTATTTGAATAGCTTACAGATAAAATGTTTTAGCATTTTAGGTCTTGTTTTCCAGTTAGTCGTTCTAATAATTTTGTGCACTAGAAAAAGAAGTTCGGGAAAACGTTGAATGAAATAATCTTTATAGTTGCCTTCTTTGATATATGGCGATAGACGTGGACGAGGTTTATCATGCCAGTGATGATCAACGTTAGTTATGAATCGCAAACAACTTGCCCACGAAGACTGGTATGTTACAGTCCTTTCTTTGTTTTTTTACTTCAAATGTTTTTAAATCTTTCAAAACTTCATCATCGATAGGTTTCATCCATGTTGTACGATAATTCAACTGCTCACGAACATCTGAATTTTGATATTGTGGTTGTTTTATCTCTGGTTGGTTTCCAACATCACACAGCATGTTAAAACTTTCCTCATTGGATTGTAAATAAGGATGTTTTAACGCCTCGTTGGCTGATGGCCTGAGTTCAGGCTTATGCTGTAGCATCCATGAAAGAAGATCTTCAAGTTGAACATCATCGATTTTCTTCAAGCCAACAGGGTTTCCATTTAACAAGTTACTCAATATACTCTCTTTAGTTCCAAAAGCATGTTCCCCTTTTGTTGCAACATAATAAGCCACCATTCCTGCACTCTAATATTAATAAAAAGAACCATAAATAGTCACAACATCAACTGCAAATACTGAAATGCTAAAAAATTGAGTTTATTCGTTATTTGCAGAACTGAATAATAGCTATATATTTTTTAACGAACATATCTACCATTATATCAGACTCTTTCTTGTAACGACCTTCACGCAAGGATTCAGGATTCAAAAATAGTTATTTGAAATAAGCAAACTACTAAGCCGCTAATGCAATTATCATATATAATTAAATAAATCATGATGAATAATGCGATAATGTACTTAAATAATAAAAGCACATTTGGCGCCCCATAGATGTGTAAGATGTTTAATTAGAGAGCAGACAACCATACACTGTAAGATATCAACAATTCACAAGGTGTACAAAAAAAATTAGAACATTTTTAAATGACAAGAACATTATCTTTATATCAAAATTTCTCAAAATGTATCCACGTCTAAGTATTTACGCATCGCCTGGTTTATCTAAAGGCAAAAAATTAATCTTGAAAAGCGGGAGAGCAGTTTGCAACTGCTTGCGCAAAGAAAATGAGAAATTAAAAATCTAATTCAACTCGAAAAGTTGAAAGTTTAAATTCTGTTGTGTATTGCACGCAACGTGTCTAAAATGACCGTTCTGGCAAGTTTACCGTCTTATTATTTTTATAGATAAACCAGACAATGCCAAAATACTTCGAAATGAACACGTTTTTGAGAACTTTTGATAAAATACTGTAAACATCCTTATTCGCGGTAACCTTCCCCTGATTTGAACAGTCATAAACAAGCACATGATGGGGCAGCAAATACGTATATGACTCGACATCTGAATGCAGTTACTAGACCCAATTCAAAGAGAAGAGACGAAGGCTGTATTGGTATATTGTGTAGCTCAATCTTGTCCTTTAGGTTGACTAATGGCTGAAGTGGCTCACTTTAATCTAACATAAAATCTTTGAGCGAGACTAGGTTTTACTGTCAGAACTGCAGCGATCGATGCGTTTTTTAAAAAAAGTATGCAGTGTTGCACGCGGATAGCAGTATTTGATATGAACTGGAGCTCAGGTTTGACAAATAAAGTTTGATCTTAGGCAAATATTGAACTTGTGATAGATGCATATAGGGGTTTTATGTTATGTACCTATCACAAAGACTACAGAAAGTTCAAGAACGAAGTAGAAATTGACTTAAGAAGGATAACAATATCAATACTGTCAGATTTAGTAAAGACCGCAAACGAACAAAATTTATGATAAGATCAAATGCGAATTATGGATATCACTTGAATTAGCACGATAAGCGACATTATGAAAACGTACGTCCTTGTATATGTAGTAAAGCTCATAAACTTCTTTGTACCCATTTAATGCATACAACAAAGGTCCATTTTTAACTCTTCAGAGAGTGAAAACATCTTAGTCTGACATTGAACTAGAATTCCTAGCTTGCAAATAGTACGACCAATCGTTTAGGTTATTAGTTAAATTCATTCGTTTTGTGCAATGTATTGATTTTTGAACAATACTTGCACTTTGTATATTGCAATGAAGTACAACTAAATTATAAAGGTTTCATGACTTTGTCCATTTTCAATGTTTGTACTAGACTCCCTAAAGCGTGAAGTATATACTATACTCGTCGACTTTAACCCCACCCCCAAATTTAAATCTGTTTCTACGGCTATGTATCGATTCTATGTATATCTATGAAACACCGAACCATTGGCGTTGTGGCTGGGGTACAGCCAGGGGGGAATACACCACGAATGATTTAAGGGGAGACACCACTACCAGAAGGCATATGGGGGCCGCCAGAACGCATCTTTACAAACTCCTCTAAATTTATTTCAGGAAAAAAAATTCAAACAAATAAAACCACTGAACGGCGGAACGGATCAGAAAAAATGGCGGACGGAGATGATCGGAAAATATCCTGAGATGACGAGATAACAAGGAAAAGCATAATCAAGGAGTATATGTTGAATGTTAGAAAGTATATCACTACGTATGGAAGATATATTTTATAAGTGCCTTATACATAAATTTGATAGTATAACTTACTTTCATAGTCGGGGTAATATTCCGTTCTTTCATCTTTAGACTCGTAACGTTCTGTCAATTGAAAAGTCACCAAACGTGTGACAGTATTTTAGTCAATAACAATCGACTCAGAAAAAACCTTAAAGATATATCTATAGTTGGTGCATAAAGACATAAAATCTTTAGACGACAATTATCGAGATAAAAAGATCAATAAAGTATATGTATGTTCTACGATAAAATGTTGGAAAATATATCCATATTTTTGCATGTATACCTTACACACAATTTACGTGGGTCTCGCATAAATTTGATTGTATATAACTTACCGTCATCCATGAAGTAACTTTTCATTCGTTGAAGGCAACTCTATAAATTCTGTATTATCCAAGGTGAATATATCGAACTTAGGAAATTCTGCAATCATAAATACATATTTATCAAATCTTCGTCTTTCTCACTCGTTGAAATGAAAAGATTAAAATAGAATTCTTGCACAGTTTTAATATTTAATCATTAAGGCGTTTAAATTACATATAACATCATAACCTTCAACGCCGTACGTCCATAAAGAAACTTTCCGTGATTATTAGCCTTAACATAGATGAAAATTTATAAAAATTAAACATACGCAGGAAGAAAATTTTCAGATATTGTACTCATCCTTGTTATACGTTACTTGTATCAATGTTTTAAAACATTCAACTGTATGAAGTTAATGGTCAAAAATCTACGATGATCATTTGATGCACGCCAAATAAGGGTGTTTTTATTACAAATTATTGTCGAAACAAAAATATTTATCATAATAGTAGCAAAGTAGCTACATCTTAGGGGAAAGCTTATCATTCACAGATTCAAAAAATTATAATTAACCAACAAACAACAAAATCATAAAAAATTTGTCACAGCAACAAGGTAGCTATAACAAGGTATAGAAAAGACTACTATCTTCAAGTTTCATCTTTATAAACTTGATTTAAAACAAATTAAGTGCAATGGTTTACTTTCACCAATTATGATGAAGCTATCACAATCAGGGACACCTTAAACTCAGTAAGGCAATGGTGTCTTTGTCAATGTGAACGTAATTGGAAGTTACTTTTTTCCGTACAAATCTCTACCAAGAAATTTAAATGCATAAATCAAAACATAATCCGCTTATTGTAATCACAGCAAATGGAACGTTTTATAGTATAACTGTTTAATGTTTGTGATTAACCAATGATTGCAGTCGACTACATTTAAAAAAACAACACAGGAGATTCTAAATTTGGACACCCGAATCAAACAAGGCGCTACCATGCAACACCTAATGAGAAGAAAAAAACCTTAAGGGTGTTGGCATGTAAGATATACAGTATTAGAATTTAGAATAGTCCGTTCATCTAAAATGCAAGAATTCATTGAAAAATGTGATATTACGCGTGTCAATGACACACTTCATTGCATAACTATTTAAGATGCAACTATTTAAAATAACAAGAAAAAGATCTTTGTTCATTCGATACTAGCGATACCGAGAATTTGTCTATTTTTATTTTCCTATTATCATTCTAATCGAATTTTTCCTGGTAAATGTTCAAAATTATTTTTTGTTAACTGTAACTAATAAGAGACTGAAAGATATGTGTTAAAAACAGAAATTGGGGATTTGTACATGGAATTAAAGACTGTTACGCTCAAAAAAACTAAATTGAATTTGTGAAGTCTTTTGTTTTGTATAAAGGTAATAACAAAATGTTAAGAGTTTTTCATTTAGGCATTGGAAGTTCCATTTAATCGCCAAGAGACTGACTTTTTATCTTATAGAAAAATCCAATACAAACTATTGGCGATTGAATCAAACGCCTGACGCCTGAAATGTTCTTAAAATGGTTATTAGGGTATTGAAAGAATTCACAAATGCAATCCGGAATAGCAACGTGTAGTATTTATCTAGTAAAGAACATGTCACAACTATGTTTGTAAAAATTCTCTCACCTTTAAAAGTTCCAACAACCTCCACTTCTTCACCGTTTTTGCTTCCGTCTGACAGTACGAATGCCTTCTTCTGCAGCTCGTGACCTTGAAAGAAATAAATATTTCTTTTACAATGTAGCATTTCAAATTCAAAAGATCACAGCTGGAAAAACAAGCTTTATGGAGATTTCTCTGAGCAGATTTCGTAAATGACTGCATTTCAGTATGCTCACAATCGTAAAGTTGAAATGTTTGAAAAAAGTATCGTCTACAAATAAACAGTTATTACAAATAAACATTAATTCCAAAAAATCTTGCGTAAATCTACCTATAGCAAAACACAAATTGTTTATGAATGGACTGTTTCTTAAATTATTCAACTGGAATTTTCTTTATATCATACTGGACGATGGCTTGGGCAGCAAGAAAAAATACTTACAATTTCGTTTCTGTCACCATTTTGTTAACCTTGCAACTGCTCATGAAAAAACTTCAGACATTCTGTGAATTTGACAAAATGCATTAACAAAAATAGGTACGCTTGCGTACACGTGGGAAGCCTGTAAAACAGGAGACGCAAAAAGATTGAAACAAGTGGAGTTGCAGTTACTTTAACACAGGATAAGAATTTTCTAGTATGCATAAATTTAACAGTTCGAAATTGTTGTGAGACCATCCGGCAATTGCGATGAAATATGAGTTATGTTTGATCCCATTTATCTATGCTTCAAGACCTGATAATTAAATTCT